TCCAAGCAGTCAATATTACATTTCATTCAATGATCGACTTTGGAACTTAAAGAGTATATAGTAGTGCTGCAAATTACTTTATCACATGGGGCAGTCTCTCTTGCATACATATAAATACTTAGATAGATGTTAAACCATCTCTTCTCTTTGCCCATAGGTGGAGCCCAAGTATTAGTGTTGAATAAACCTTGGGCACGTGGTTTTAGAAAAGGAGCCAGGCAGCAGTAACTTCTCAACTAGATATTGTGACTGTTTAGGCGCTCATAAAGCCCCCTTGTGTGGGGGAGTTCTTTTTATAGTTACACAATTGAGTAAAATTAACTCACAGAGGAATCAGACCTATAATGCTGGCTGAATTATTCCTATGTCACAACCACGTTGACTAATCATCCTCTTTCATACCTCCTTCTATGCATATCATATTTTCATATATATTTTTTTCTTTTAAAATATATTATAAATATATCTTGCTTTAGGTCAGAGACAGGGAGAACTACCTCTGTTGTGGTCAATATTCTAAAAAGGATACTTCACTGCTTTAAACTGAGTTCAGTAAACTTAAAGCTTCCTTGTCTAGAATTGCTTAAGTCTTTTGTGGAAATACAAAGAACTGAGGTCAGTGATGCTAAAGTCTTTGGTCATGAAATCTTAAAAAAAAGCCTAGCGCTTATAAAATAATGCTCCTAAGAAGGCAGAATCCTTTCTATTCAAAGATTATAGTTTTTCCATTGTTAACTGAACAATATTGGGGATTACAGGGAATTCTAGAATATTTTAATCTGCCTTTCAGTAGCTAGTACTGTACCAAGTGTGAATTTGTAATGTGTTCATGTCATGCATTTTATAAGCAAAGATGAATCATCAATGGTAGTCTTGCAAATGTTATCTTCTATTGGTATTCCTCTCCCAAGAAACCAAAGTAAGGTATTTCTAATCAGTGGAGCACTTGCTCCTTAAAGGCCTTGCTTGCAGATAGGAGCTGAAAATAGTAGATACACTAAAAGGCAGACCAGAGACAATAGAAAATTCACCTGTAGTCAAAATAGATTAAAACAGACAAACAATACACTTTACACATCTAGGCACTTACTTTAGAAGAATAATTTTCATACTGATTTGAGACGTACTTTGCTATAATGGAATGAACAGTAGACTAGGAGTCAAGAATCCTAGGTTCTAGTTGTTTTTAATCATAACAATTTGTCTAACTCTAAGAACATTATTATACCTCTTTGGTCCTAAATTCCTTTGTCTTTAAAGTAAGAGAGACTACCTCATCTCCAAGTTACCTTCTTATTGTAATATTATAAGTATTTAATATATTATATGGTAACATTCCTTCACAGAGTTACCCTATACGTATGACCTTGAGAGCATCACTACCAGCACTTCTGTATACATGATTTATTCTTAGTTTTCTGGATTATTGTTGAACCTTCACAGACATATAAAAAGTAATTTTAGAGATCCTACAGTAGCAAACTGCCTCATAGGTTCAGTGGTTCTGGATCTCTCTTAGGAAACATGGGCTTTCCTCTACAGGCTTCTATAATTGTAGGTGTCAGAGTATTTGCAGAGGCAAAATATTTGGGATTTCAGAGAACTGTGAAGGCCTTTCAGTCCTCCTCACCCCTACGAAATTCAATAGTTAGAGGTGCATCTAGTTGAAATCAAAATGAACTATGAAGGTTTGCTCATTAAAATGCAAACATCCTCGGAAAAGATAACATTTAAAGTATAGTGAGAATGAGTTTCTAATCTTTTTTCTGGGGAGAAATTGCTTATCTTGAGTAAGAGAATTACAGGCCACATTTGACTCAAAACTCAATTTATAGTGATTCACATTTAGATCACTCAGCTTTTTATACCCATGTTGTTTATTAGGGTACTTATGAGAGAGAGTGATCAAATATGTCAGTCATTGCTATTACAAAATGAATGAACAAAGTGCTATGGGGACATGGAGGAAGGATACTTAACCCAGCTAGGGAAAGGGAGAAGTGGACACCAGAAATGTCTTCATGGAGGAGAGCTTCTTAAGCTTAATCTTAAAAAACATGTACTGGCAAAATGGGGAGATGTTGGTCAAAGGGTACAAACTTTCATTTATAAGATGAATAAATTCTGGGTATCTAAAGTACAGCATGGTGACTGTATTGTCACAATGCTGTACTGTATACTTGAAATTTGCTAAAAGAGTAAATCTTAAGTATTTTCACCATACATACACATACACAGAGTAACTATAAAGTGATGGATGTATTAATTAGCTTGATTATGGTAATTATTTCACAATGTATATATATATTAAATCATCATGTTGTATACCCTAAATATACACAATTTTAATTTATTAATTATGTCTCAATAAAGTCAGAAAAAAAAGAATACATAGTGGCCAATTATAAAGGGCCCTATATGACATATCAAGGAGTTTGAATTTTATCTGGAGGTTATGAGGAATACTACTGAAGAGTTATATGCAGGAATGTTAATATCAAATTTTGAACAGATAACTTTGGTATGAAATTGGAAAATGGATGTAAAGATGCTAATTGGGGGAGGGAAGCCTTTACAATAATCCAGGAAGTTAATAATAAAGACCTAAATTAAAATCATAGCAGTGGGGATGGCAAACAAGGGACAGATTCAAGAGGACGTAGAGGAAATGAGTATTGTAGAAGTAAAGAAAATAAGTTTAATATTGGTCATGTTAAATTTACTAGCAGCAGGTATACATTTGTTGTAAGAGTTTGGAGCTCAGGCAAGGTCTGGGCAAAGATACAGATTTAGAAATCACTTAATAGTTGGTACTTGAAACAATTGGCATGTATGAGGTTATCTGAAGTGAATGTGTAAGATCTGAAAAGGGTCAGAGACAAACACTCTAAAGAAAGTTCATATTCAAGGAATTGACAAAGGAAGGCAAGCTTACAAAAGAGCCAGTAAAGGAGAAAATGTACCACATTGTTTATCTGTCCCTCTCCTGCACTACACAGTGAGATGCATGGGGTGGGGTTTTATTTTATTCATCTTTGCATTATCTGGACTTAACATAGTACCTGGAATTTAGATTTTTAATAAATAATTGTTAAACAAATTGAATTGTTTCTATATATGGTGTTGTTTTCTAAACAACTAATTAAAGTGCCTAGGAGGTTTAATTATAATGCTCTTTTGCATTACAAATCGAGTTTGATCCAACTCAAAGGTTGAATGCAAACCTAACTATTATTTTTCATCATCATGCATGGAAACACTTGACAAGAAGTTAACCATCCATGAAGAGTTTGCTTACTTATGAGTGACAACTGATTTGATGAACAAATGAAGGGGAAACAAGCACATGAAAGGAAAAGAGAATCCACCTGACAGTATTATTTTTTTTCTAGAGGAGAAATAGAAATGGCCATTTCCAGTTCTGTTTTTTCCTTAAAAGGACTGGAATTTCTGTCTAAATGTGACTTGGCATCACAGTGAGATTTTTCTAAGGACTGATGTTAAGAGAAACTACCCTGATATTACAAGAGGCCAGGGATGGTTAACTTATTTTTATAACATGTAAATTTTTTCAACTTAATTTTACATTCATATTTTCTGAAGATGTCTTTAGTGTTGCTTGACATAAAAATATCTAAATATCTGTACTTAATAATAGAAAGAAACCTATTTCATTAAAATTGATTTCTGAAATTATGTAGTTAATTCCTAACTCCCCACTCTAGTCAGTTTTATTATCTTTATTTCCTTTAATGAGGAATAAAACAAAAACAAAAGAAAAGGTTTAAACCTAATGATAACATATCTAAAAGAATGTAAGTCAAAGATGTAGGATAGGTGTAAGTTATGTAAAAATAATTTTTGTCTAAGTCGGGTCAGGGATCAAAGAGCTAGAATTTGGCATTTAATATTTCACTAATTTTAGGCCTTTTAATTTTCACATAATTTGTTACTTTATCTACTATTGTTTTTTATATTTTAACACTGGAAGAAGAGCACTATTATGTAGTAAAAATAAGAATGTTAAGCCTTTTTTTTTTTTCTTTTTTGGCCGTGCCACGCATCTTGCGGGATATTAGCTCCCGGAGCAGGGATTGAAGCCGGGCCACCGCCATGAAAGCGCCAAGCCCTAACCACTGGACTGCAAAGGAATTCCCAAGAATGTTAAGTCTTGAGCCTTAATCCTGTTCCTTTTCTGCTGTTCTATCTGAGTTTGAGTTTTCTTGTAGAAAAATTATGGTGTCTGTATAGATGCTCTCTAATGTTCATTGAAATTTGAAAATTTTATGATCTGTGAATAAAGTCCTTTATTTGTAAAAGCAATCCTTTTGTATTGTTTTTATCTGTATAACAAAAACAATTAAGAAACTACATTTTATTCAGATTGCACCTGAACTGAATTTTTAGAAAGGGAAGTAGTTGATTAAAAACTGAAAACACTGGAGAAAACTACCCTTCCATTATCTTTCCACAAGCTGGTCTCAACGTACCACTAAAGTAAGAGCAGAAAATGAGAAGATATATGAAGCAGAAAAACTGAGATCAGACTGGTTGCTCAGTGATCCATAGATAAATTAACGTAGTATTTACATTTTACATTTAAAAACATGATTTCCACAAATGAAAATAATTACGAGACACATTAGTTATCTCCCATTTCTGTCAGAAAGGACATAAGGCAGACTCACAGTCAACTGTTTTTCTCACTCAGGGCTGACAACCCTTTCTTTAGAGTACTGGTATTTTGATGAACAGGAGAAACACTGTTGACTTTTTCCTTTTTTTTTTTTTCTTTATGTAAAGGAAGCTTTATGGGTATTTTACTCTGTATACCATTAAGATTGATCTTAGAGTTGAGTAGAAATAAGAAGCAAAAAGCAAGATGATGATAATTGCAGTAATAATAACATTTCTCTTTCAGGAAAACTGTGTATTAGTGTTAGATGAATCTTATTTGGAAAAAAATGAAAATAAAAGGCAATGGGCAAATATAACAGTACCTCGGTAGTTGATGATTTCTGTCCCAAGCACCGGAGTCATCTCCAGGACTGTGATAAAGGCTTTGTCCATAGATGTTAGAGGAAAAGGAGACATGCGGTGTCTTCTAGCCACCTTGGTGATATCAACAGCACTGTGACCTAAACAGGAAGATAATTAACTAAGAATATGATGCTGAAACACACTAAAAAGTGGGAAAGGCTTATAAATATCAACAATTCTCAATTTCATGTGTCCAGAAATGAAGATTACAAGGTAAGAAACTTTTTCCTGCTTCCAAAATATAGCCTGCTTTGGTGGAACATTAAATCAAGTTAGTAATGTTACATCATGTGTCAAAAGTTGGTGAAATTTAATAATGATATTGGCTAATCCTTTTTGTTGTTGTTGTTGTGTTTTTTTTGCGGTATGCGGGCCTCTCACTGCTGTGGCCCCTCCCGCTGCGGAGCACAGGCTCCGGACGCGCCGGCCCAGCGGCCATGGCCCACGGGCCCAGCCGCTCCGCGGCATGTGGGATCCTCCCGGACCGGGGCACGAACCCGCGTCCCCTGCATCGGCAGGCGGACCCCCAACCACCGCGCCACCAGAGAAGCCCTGGCTAATCCTTTTTGAGTGCTTAACTATGTGCCATGGCACTATTCTAATTAATCTTCACAACAACCTAAAGGGAGCCATCATTATTATCCTTTATTACAGATGAGGAAAAAGAGGTTTACATATCTTGGCCTAAATCGCAAAGCTAGAAACTGAAGAGCCAGGATTCAAACCTAGGTAGCCAGGCTTTAGAGTCCATGTCCTTAACTACTATACTGAAGTTTGAACACTTAATGAGCTAGTTAGTGAAGTGAAATATACAAACTTGAATTTATTCAGAATTTCATAGGAAATTTTCTTTCTTCTAAAAACATAGAAAAATATTATTATTTACTCACTCCCCATGTAACCTTATCTAGTCCCCTGGCATTAATACCACCCATACACTAAACTCCCTAATTTTATATCTCCAACCCCAACCCCTACCTTCACCTCTAGACTTATATGTCATCCAAATAGCTGGTGGATAACAGCGTATATCTACAAGCTTATAAATCATCAAATATGCACTTGAATGTGCAACAGGCAATTCAAACTTAACATGCTCAGAATCAAACTCTTGATTCCCCACCCTCCTAACCTACCTGCACGATGTCTTATTCTCTTGCAATTTGCATCTCAGTAAATAGAAACTCTACTCACTCAGTTATTAATCCAAAACCTTGGTGACATCTTTGATTCTTCTAGTTTTGTCAGAACCATATCTAAACTACCATTAAAATGTCTCTAGAATCTGATCATTACTCACCATCTCTACAATTATTACAATAATTGGAGCCATCAATTATTTCCTGGGAAATCGAATAGTGTCCTAACTTGTCTCCTTCCTTCTATCCTTGTCCCATTACAGTTTATTCTCTACACAGTAGTTACAATGCTCCTTTTAAACTGTAAGTTGAATTGTGCTAATCTCTGCTTACAACTCTCCATGACTTTCCATTTCATTCAGAGTAAAATCTTTGCTATGGCCCTCAAAGCCCAACATATTATAGCCTACACTGTTCTCTTCTCCTATCATTTCACCCTTATTCAATGTGCTCTAGCCAAACTGGTTCCTTGCCTGAGAATGTCAAATACATCTTTCTTTAGGGTCTTCATACTTGCCATTTCCTCTACGTGGACCATTCTTCCCCAGATATTATGGTTCCGTTCATCCCTCATTTCTTTCAGGTCTTTGCTAAAGGATCACCTAATCAGAGGCCTTTGTTAAACATCCTACATAGAATATTACCTACCATCACTCTCTATTCTCCTTACCCTACTTTATTTTTCTTCATGGGAAAAAAAAAATATATATATATACATATATACACACATATACACATATATATTGATATTTATATACCTATAATATATATTTATACTTATTTGTTTATAACCTTCTTAGTAGAATGTAAGCTCCATGACAGCAGCAACTTTGTCCTTTTTATTCACTGTTGTCATCCCCAAAACCTAGAACAGTATCTGGCACATATCAGGCAATAAAAAATAAATAGTTGTTGACTTAATAAATGACTCATTTAATGACAAAAAGGGAATTCTTAGAGCACAATAAACAACTTGACCCATGCATAAACAACTTGGCCCAAAGGGTAAACATAAAAGGAGTAACTGCAAACACTGTTGCTTGGCTATTGTAACTGATATCCACAATTCCCTTCTTCCGTAGCCACCTTTCAGCTAAGACTGGCCATATGATATAGTTCTGGTCAGTGAGATGTAGGAAGAAGTCCCTGGGGCAGGCTTCCTACTACAAATAAAAAGATAAAGAGATAAAGCTTTAAGAGGAGAGCATGGTTAGATACTGGGAGGTGCCATAGCCATTTTTCAACCATGAGGATAGAAACCCACACATAAGTATTGGAAACACGAGAATAAAAAGAGGCAGAGTCTCTGATGACAATACTGAGCTGCTGTACAAGCCCTGGACTGCCCGCCTCCAGACTTTTTATATGTGAGACAAATAAGCTCCTATTTCTTTAATCCACTTTATAATGATTGTATATATTCCCCTGCAGTCTGTAAGTTCCTGGTCACTGCAATTTATTAAATTTAGTCCTCCTACCCAAACCCCAGCAGCTGCTTCAGACATATTCACTGAACTGACTTACAGGAACCGTCCCAAAGAGTTTTCACTCTAAGACAAATGACATTGTCATAGGTAGTCAAAGAAAAAGACATACAGTATGCTTATACTTATTTCTCACCCATGGGTAATCACAAAATTACAAAATTTTCAAAGCTTGAAGGACCTTAGAAATTATTTAGTGCTAAATATGAAAATTTTTTTCTACTTTAAGGTGAACACTTAAAGAAGGATTATGTATGATTTATCATTTACCTATAATTGAAACATAAATTTATACATAACTCACTTTCACTACAGTCCCTGCCACGTCATTAAATATCAATAAATACATATTGTCACAACCAGTGTAACTGAAGAGAATGATAGATAGGTGTTTCTATAGACCCTTTTATTCGGGTTTATAGATCTCAGATCTGATCTTTTCTAAGATATTCTTTACTTTCTTTATGGTGAAAATTGTGTACAATCTTATAAAAGCTGTGCTTTTAAAATGTTTGGTTTCTGAGGAGAAAATTGCACTTTATTAGAAAGCAAGTTTGACTATCAGTGACACACGCATCCATTCAACAAATATTTATTGAGTGCATTTTATGAGCCAGGCACAGTTACACCCTTGGTATACAAAGAGTGAGATACACCCTGCCATGAAGAATGTTTCAGCTCAGCAGAAAGGAAAGACATGTAAGTGAATAAAAAAATAAGGGCAGGAGGACAGTAAACAAATGGATGGTTCTCTAACTATAGAGATTGATATTTTTTTAAATTGGAAATTGCATACCAATTTCCCCCAGCCTGGAAAAATCTTTCCTGTCTTTAAGATAATTTTGTACCTTGTTTATATCTTTCTTATGGCAACTACCACTTTCTATCTAATGTTATAGACATTTAAATATTTGCCTTACCTATGCTAGTCTATCATAAACTCCTTGAAGGCAGAACCTGTATCTTATTAATCTGTGTATCCTTTGCTACTTTTAGAGCAATGCTTTCCTTATACTAACAGTAGGTACTGAATAAACGGGGTATGAATGAATAGCAAATCCTTCAAACAAAGCTGAAAGTTGGGAAGGAAGATTCAAAGTGGCACCTCCTGTTCTGCCCTTTGCGTCTCTAGGTCCTTTCATATTTATAAGTTCTCTGTCACAAAGTGACAGATAAATAATCCAGATTGCTAGATAAATAATCCAAACTTTGATGCTAATGGGTTAATATTGGTCCCTCACTAAACTATTTGCATGTTATCACAGGGGCTTTCTGGATATAAAATAAATTAACTGAAAGAAATGTCTCAAAGGAGGAGTATTTTAATTCTCTGGCACATTAGCAGATACGTGTGTGTGTGTGTGTATGTGTATGTGTGTGTTCTCAACAAGTGTTCACTGAGCACCTTCTATGTGCCAAGTGGCTTCTTCCCACTCAAGACCCACCCACGGTCACATAGTAGAAATAGTCAGCTACTTCACCAATAAAGAAGGGCTAACTTAGTTGTGTAAATATGAGAAAAACAGTATTGTTACCTTCTACACACAAGAATAAAACGATATAGATAACAGCTGCTCTTTTTAAAAATTGAAGTATAATTTACAATGTTGTGTTAGTTTCAAGTATACAGCTAAGAATATATGTATATATATATTCTATTTCAGATTCTTTTCCATTATAGGTTATTACAAGATACTGAGTATAGTTCCCTGTGCTATACGGTAGGTCCTTGTTGTTTACCTATTTTATATACAGTACTGTGTATATGTTAACCCCAAACTCCCAATTTATTCCCCCCCCCGCCACTATCCCTTTTGCTAACTGGAAGTTTGTTTTCTATCTCTGTGAGTCTATTTCTGTTCTAAGTTTATTTGTATAATATTTTTAGATTCCACAAATAAGTGATAACATATGATATTTGTTTTTGTCTGGCTTACTTCACTTAGTATAATCATCTCCTGGTCCATCCATGTTGCTGCAAATGGCATTATTTCATTCTTTTTTATGGCTGAATAGTATTCCATTATATATATATACACACACACACACACACACACACACACACACACACACACACCATCTTCTTTATCCATTCATCTGTTGATGAACATTTAGGTTGCTTCCATGTCTTTGCTATTGTAAACAGTGCTGCAATGAACACTGGAGCACATGTATCTTTTTGAATTAAGAGTTTTCTCTAGATATACGCCCAGAAGTGGGATTGCAGGATCATATGGTAACTCTTATTTTTAGTTTTTTAAGGAACTTCCATACTGTTCTCCACAGTGGCTGCACCAATTTACATTCCCACCAACAGTGTAGCTGGGTCCCTTTTTCTCCACACCCTCTCCAGCATTTATTATTTGTAGGCTTTTTAATCATGGCCATTCTGACTGGTGTGAGGCAATACCTCATTGTAGTTTTGATTTGCATTTCTCTAATAATTAATAGCTGCTCCTTTTACTTAAATAGAAT